CCACCCACTGGCGCCTCTTGCGCCCCTAGCCGCGGCAGACCACCCCTCGCTGCAGCGAGTAGCCTACCCGACGACAAGTCACCCTTCCACCTGTGCTAACCTCCACCTCGAACAGTCTTAACATGCCTCTATCGTGGACCCGGCTACCGGTCGCTAGGCACGTGTGGCAAACCTTTACGTAGAGACGTAAAATGTCCATCTGTCCAACCCCAACCACCACCGAGAGCCTCTTCTCTTGTGGATATACTTTGACATACTCGGCCAGCAGCATGCTTGAATATCTTCTTTTCTAACGCCGCAATCATGTATCGTGTGTATATAGCGATAGGATTATGGGATATGGAATAATTGGATCCAACCAATTATTAGTGAATTTCGCAGTTAGCTTACAAAAGCGTTCTTCAATTCTTCGCGAACTCACAAACTAACTTGTACAAGTACATGAAATTTACTTTCAATGAGAATCAATGAGTCTCCTTTGTATACCTTTGATATAGAACTGAAAGGAAATATTATTTAATTGATTGTTCATTGTATTTCAGAGTTAATCCTTTCCACCGCGGCATATCGATTTCAATATTTTACATAACCGGCGCCCTATCTCGCCACTATAAATCAAGCCCTACCACTAAATCCTTGTGCTTCGTTGCGACACTGAGGATGCACTCTTCGAATTGACTTTGCAGTCAATATGTCCTAAGGGAAGACTTGTCCCGATATCTGTGTTCAAGTACTTCTACTTGAATGTACTTTAACCCTCTTAATTTCGCGACATTTAAAAAAAAACTTCAAACCTCGACTTTATCGTCGTGTTCGATCGAAATAGAATCGTGATTCCGTTTCGCGACAAGAATAATTCAGTCACTGCCTCCTGCTGATATTTCAAAGGGAACGATCCATCGATGTGTTTTTGCCCTTAGTCCTTACGGAACTGCATCTTTCCTTTTACTTATACATCATATTCATTTTTTATCATCTTACGTGGCTAGCAGCATTTCAACAAGGAATTAAAGTCGTCCGTGAATGCAATAACGAAGGAAATCGAAGCTAGAGAAAAATATAGGACACAAGCGGAATCATTGTTCCGCAAACTTTTTTCCATTTGACAGGAACGATCGAACAATCGCAATGCCAGAGCTCCGGTGACGCATTACGGTCGAAGGATATGCCGTAAAGTGAATGAATCTCTTACACCTGGATCGATATCGTGGAATATTTTCAGAACTCGGAACAGGCGACGTTAATAATGCAGTCGCCCACCCCCTCCCCACCCCTCTTTTTCCTACTAGTCACGAATCGTGGTAAATTGCGCAGAAATCGGAGTGACGT